CCGATTAATGTGGGAATTTCTAGCCTCTACAGCGAACGTGGTTCCTTCTTTCAAAGCTGTAATTTATTATAAATTAAATTTTAGTTGTTAAAAATAATATCATTGGATATTCATTTAAATTTAATTTTATATGATTATGATTTTGTTGCTACAATGAAAAATTTAAAGTTAAAGTTTAGTTTTTAAGACCGTACTAAATTTGAACACGCCTTAGCGAGTTGGACGGAGAGATGTATCTCTACCAATGCATAAGTTTTCTGGTCTATTTTCTCTTTTTTTCATCCATAGGTAAAAAAAATCACATTTTAATTCTAATTATACTGGCTCCAAAATATATATGCACGCACTGTGTTTGAATCCTAATCACCTGATTTGTTGATTGATCCTTAGTGTCCATCTAGGATAAGAAAAGAATCAAAGCAGGAGTACGTCCACCTATTTGGACTTGTATTCTAGTACTTGATCAGTGTCGTCCGTTTGATCTAGCAGTTGTTTTCTATTCAGACTTCTATTATCAAAGTTAATCTACACCATCAAATTCTAGTCCCAGTATAATCTAACGGTCTAGATTTTTCTTTTTTCTCCGATTAACGTGGGAATTTCTAGCCCCCACAGCGAACGTGGTGCCTCCTTTCAAAGCTGTTTTAATAATATAATAGATTTCAAGTTGTCAGTAAGACAGTAAGTAGGAAAGCTTGTGTGTATTTTCCCAACAGCAGTCTTGTGATTCAACTCTGCTTTCTAACTATTTTTATTATCCATGAAGTGGATTTGCAATCGATAGCATTATTAAGGTCATGCGAGGAGAGAAAATCGGTACGCTTTTCCATAGGGAAGCAAACCAGTGGGGTTGTTCCAAGGAAGCAACAGCGCGTGAGATGGCCGTTGCTGCAAGAGATTGCTCCAGACATCTACAGGTATTCTTTCCTTTCACTTCCTTTTGTGAAGGAATCAGGCAATGCAATTTTCAAGCTATAACTTCAAAAAACAATCAAATAATTGCGTGTTTTCTTCATGTCATATTAAATTATTACAAAGGCATGTCGTCGTCTTTAAGTAGTATAAATATCAATATTGTTTATTTTCTTGCTGCCTTTGCTAACTACTTGTGTTGCATGTGGTCACCTAAACAGAAATTGTCGTCTGAGGAGCGTAAGAAGATTTTGCTAGACATCGCCGATGCTCTAGAAGCAAATGAAGATCTAATTACATCCGAGAACCAAGCTGATCTGGATTTGGCGCAAGATATTGGTTACGATAAATCATTGGTTGCTCGGATGACCATAAAGCCAGGAAAGGTAGGCCAGATACATGTGCCATCTTCTGAGCGGTGTCATCTTTAAGTTCATTATTTGTTGAAGTGATTCTTGGCTGTTGTATGAAATGTCCTCACTATATTTAATATCTATTCGAAGATAAAAAGCCTCGCAGGATCAATTCGTGAAATCGCTGATATGGAGGACCCTATTTCCCATACACTGAAAAGAACAGAGGTGAATGCATATACCCTATTCTAAAATCCAAACACGATGTGATAAGTACTACAATCAATCAATGTGATAAGTACTACAATCAATCATAGCTTCATGTGATTTGTAACCAATGAAGGACTTGTTTTGTAGGTTGCTAAAGATCTTGTTTTTGAGAAAACATATTGCCCATTGGGTGTTCTCCTAATTATTTTTGAGTCCCGTCCTGATGCCTTGGTACAGGTAAAATGATTTTTTTAGTTGGAAAGAAACTGTATCAGTTAACTACAAAGCAACGTTATTTATCATATTAACATAACATTGTACAGATTGCATCTTTAGCAATCCGAAGTGGAAATGGTCTTCTCTTGAAAGGAGGAAAAGAAGCTATGAGATCAAACACAATACTGCATAAGGTATTATGTACTTAACTAACTGATTTAGTAGTAATGATTAATGAAGCAATAGTAGGCTTCAGTAATACCAACATGCTGTCTTTTATTAGGTCATAACTGGTGCAATTCCAGATGTTGTTGGTAAAAAACTTATTGGCCTAGTGAAAAACAAAGATGAAATTGCTGATTTGCTCAAGGTGAGTATGTAAAGTGATTCTTTGGGTGATAAATTTAAGAATTTAATCTAAACCAGAAGTACTCTGTGCAGCTTGATGATGTGATTGATCTTGTAATACCAAGAGGTAGCAATAAGCTCGTTTCCCAGATCAAAGCAGCAACCAAGATTCCTGTTCTTGGTCATGCTGGTAAGCTTGTTTTTGTTATTGAATTCTTGTCACTAAATATTACTAGTATGATAATGGTTATTTATTTTGCATAAACTAAGCATAATACATTTCCTTTTTTTATTATGATATACATTGAATGAATGTTTTTTTTCTTCTACAGACGGTATCTGCCATGTTTATATTGACAAATCAGCTGACATGGACATGGCAAAACGTATTGTATTGGACGCAAAGGTTGATTATCCAGCAGCGTGTAATGCCATGGTACTTCTCTAATTTACAAATTTATTAGCGTGTGCCCATATGGTGATACCTCTCTATTTATTGTACTTTTTTTTAAAAAAATGTATATTACGAATTGTATGTGTGTTCTACATCGTTGCTGGCCACTCATGCTAACTTACAAGTATTGTTGTCGAACTTCTGGCTAAAAGCAATAGTTCACTGTGGAAGATGCCATTCTATTCAAGTCTAACTTTCTATATTTGTCCACTTAATTTATTTCTTGGAAAATTTTATCATTTGAGCACAGATATCTAAATATTTTTTATATTCTGTGCAGGAAACGTTACTTGTTCATAAAGATCTGAACAGGACAGAAGGCCTTGACGATTTATTGGTGGAGCTTGAAAAGGAAGGTAAAATCCACACCCTTGTAGTTGAAGTATTGCAGCCATTTGTATCTTGACATGTGTTCTGCAAAAAGTGCTACTTCCTCCGTTTCACAATGTAAGTCATTCTAGCATTTCCCACATTCATATTGATGTTAATGAATCTAGACATATATATCCATCTAGATTCATTAATATTAATATGAATGAGGAAAATACTATAATGACTTACATTGTGAAACGGAGGGAGTATTTTATTTTATTATGAGAAATGATGAACAGTTATGTAGCTCAACATCAAAGATTTGATGTTCTTAATTACTTTCAATGCTTCTCAAGGGAGCATATTACAGATTTTACTTATTATGTTGCAGTCAATCCAAAATTGCTTTGCAACACGAGTTCTTGTGCAAATCAGCAAAAGGGGATCAGAAGAGCACTAATGGATTTTAATTGATGTCATGTTGCAGGGGTAGTTATCTATGGCGGGCCTGTTGCACATGACACTTTGAAACTACCAAAGGTAGATTCATTTCATCATGAGTATAACTCAATGGCATGCACCCTCGAATTTGTTGATGATGTGCAGTCAGCAATTGACCATATAAATCGCTATGGAAGGTATGCAGTTTTTCTCCATACTATATCCTCATCACTTTTTTTTTTTGGAAGTATGCAGTTTTTCTCCTTACTATATCCCCATCATTTCTTTTTTTTTTTTTTGAACTAAACTTGATTGTGTTAAATATATGTTCATTTCAGTGCACACACAGATTGCATTATCACTACTGATGGAAAGGCAGCAGAGACTTTTCTACAGCAAGTTGATAGGTGTTTAACTAATTTCCTTTGCACAACTATTATGTTTGCCGCTTTTAGTACATACCTTAATTAATGGAGTTATTCTTCTATAAATTGCAACAGTGCTGCGGTATTCCATAATGCAAGCACACGGTTCTGTGATGGGGCTCGCTTTGGTCTAGGTGCTGAGGTATGTCCTTTAAATTTGTATCACTTTATAACTTGGACATTTTCGTTAACTAGTTATCAAAAAAAAATAGTTATCGAAAATATATGTTGTTACTATTGAATGGTCAGCGTTTCATTCAGTCCCCTATTTTCTTTCCTTTATCAAATATAGGTTGGCATAAGCACAGGGCGCATACATGCTCGGGGGCCTGTTGGCGTTGATGGACTCCTAACAACTCGATGGTAGGGTTATCATGCCATATTGTCTTCATGTCCAAACATTAAGGACAATACTATTGTGCAAGATGTTTTCTGCATCTAGCATTTTATCATCATACAATATTTTTTCAGCTAAATGTTATTATCATACTAAACAGATGGAAAAAATCAGTAGTTTTGTATTTACTACTAGTATCTTCATGTAATATGTGTGCATTGGTTTTTCGTTATATATAGCATTTTACGAGGAAGTGGACAAGTAGTGAACGGCGACAAGGGAGTTGTTTACACCCACAGGGAGCTCCCTTTGCAGTGAGGTAGGTAGTGTTCTTTTATTTTGAAAGATGGCATACTACTGATTACTAACCTTCAACATCTCTGGTTTCAGGTGAAGTGGCTTGTGAAGGAGCTGTTGTAGAGCAATTTTTTGCAGACGCTCACCGTGCTCCTCCTTGAGAGCTGCTTCTCTTCATGACATGCAATGGGAGCACGAAAGCATGTCAAAGCAGGAAGTAATGAAGGGCGAAGTAGGTCAGAAACTTATAGTACTATGTACTATGGTGTTGCTACGTAGTTGTGTGGTATTCCTTATTATTCATTGTACCATGAATAATTTATGCCAATGTCGTAGTAGCTACATGTAACTATATTGGCTTTCATGGACACGTCTATGGTACTAGATGTAAAACTGCTAGATGGCTTTAGATGAACATCTCAGATTTATTTTCCATAGAATGCACATATGAAAGTACCTGAGCGTGGCGACGCTGGTGCTTTCCATGATAAAGATCTGGCTGGTGTAGGGCGGTCTGCTGCTGAAGCCGGAGACATGCACATCGCAGAAGCCTAATCATCAGACTGGAGCCTCAACTGAACCATCCCGTATCTGATCTGTTTAGATAAAGACAGTTATATTAGAAATCGCCAATAAGTCTCGGACGAAAATTCCCAGCATTTCACAACTTAAGAAGTTCAGAATTCTAGCAGCTATTCGTAATGCATCCCATTGCAGTATTGCATAACAAATTACAGAGATGAATATCAATCTCCCAGCTCAGGGCCTCTAACCATGACAGATGGTAGATACTCTCGTATCAGTGTCAACATTAGGTGGGGATATTACAATATTACATCCATGTCTGGTATCCACAGTACCATCACCATTCCAAATGTGTCAGGATACCGTTACTACTACTGATGTGTTAAACAGGGATCCATCACAAATGTATCAAAATTGTCTGGCAGAGATTCCAATTCTCTCCAAACAAACAACTCAGCAATCTTTTGAGGTACCTCCTGAAAGACTGAGTCATGATGGCTAGTCTAATCAATATGTTAGGCTATACAACAATTCCTACGTCTTCAGTGGTTATTCTGTATAAATCAGTAAAGCTCCCAAAAAACATTAATAGAGTCCGCAGCATCTTCACCAATAATCCCCACATGAACAAATTCCATCCCTGAAGTGGTGAAACCGATTCACATCCCTCACAATAATCTCTCGCTCTGCATATTTGGAGATGAACTTGGTGACGGAATGACAGTCCTCACATAGCCTGAGGTTCTTGGTGATCCTGATGACTTCTCCCCTGCCAGTGTTGATAAGCCCGAAGGCAACAGCTAGCTTCTCACTGTGCCCAAGCAAAATCTTCTCCTTCTCTTCTTCTTCAATATCATACAAAACAGCTCCTGTGTCAGGCACATAGCCATCATTCTTCATCTGTGTCACAAACTCACCTATCAGAGCTTGGAGCTCCTCAATCTGAGGATTCTTGTTGTCCACAGAGACAAACATGTGCAATCTCTTCTTCACCTCTATCCAGCTGCATCCAGGCACCTTCTCCAACGCATGCTCCTCAAGAAGATCCTTTAGCACACCAACTTCACTATGCAACTTAGCTCGAGCATAGATATCAGCAAGGAGTACATAATTTCCAGCATTTCTAGGCTCAAGATCAAAGAGTTGTGAGCAAGCCATCTCCGCATACTCCACATGGCGATGAATCCTGCAAGCACCAAGAAGTGAGCCCCACACTTGAGGACTCGGCCTAATGTGCATTCCCTGTATGAGCTCAACGGCTTCGTCCAAATGCCCGGCACGACCAAGGAGATCTACCATGCAGGCATAGTGCTCTGCACGAGGGGTGACATTATAATCCACCATCGACTCAAACAGCCTCTTCCCCTCATCCACGAGTCCAGCATGGCTACAAGCCCCAAGGACACTGATAAATGTGATGATATTGGGTGAAACGCCCATTTGGGTCATGTCTTCAAACACCTGAACCGCTTCATGGCCAAATCCATGCATCCCATATCCAGATATGAGTGTATTCCATGACACAACATCCTTCCGGTGTCCTATTAAATCAAAGATATGCCGCCCAGCTTCAAGACATCCACATTTCATGTACATCGCCATCAATGCGTTCAGAACTGAAACAAGTGAGTCAAAACCCCTCCGGAGGATATACGCATGCAACAATTTGCCCTGCCCGAGAGCGTTAACTCCAGCAAAAGCATGCAAGATGCATACTATTGTGACTGAATTGGGTACAAGGTCTTCATCAGAAGCCACCATCTCCTGGAATAGCAAAATGGCATCACCTGGTCTCTCGTTCTTGGCATAGCACCCAATCATGGCAGTCCACGACACAACATTCCTCTCTGGCATTGTAGCAAACACACTCTCAGCATAGCTGACGATTCCAAGCTTTGCGTAGCAGTCAATAAGAGTGGTGGCGACATGTGTGTGCAATCCGTAGCCACGACGGACAGCATGCGCATGTATCTCGCGTACGAGGGCCGACGCCGGCACATGAGACGTTGATGCGGCAATGCAGGCCTTGAGTCCGTGCGCGTAGCTGTAGCTGTCGACCGGAACGCGGAGCCGCCCCATGTCAGCCAGGCGCGCGAGGGCCTCCTCGCCATGGTCGGCGAGCGCGAGCGCCTTGAGCAGCGCGTTCCACACGAAGATGCTCTTCACGGGCGCCTCGTCGAACACCTGGCGTGCGGCCGGGAGCTCGCCGAGCGACGCGTAGGCGTCGATGAGGCGGGTGGAGAGGAACGGGTCGGAGCGGAAGACGGGGTCCGCCTTGAGCCGCCGGTGCACGGCCGCGGCGAGCGCCGCGTCCCCGGCCCGCGCGGCGGCGAGGAGGACCGACTTGTAGGTGCGCTGCGTGGGCGCGGGGAGGCCCTGGAGGAGCGCCGCGGCGCGCGCGAGGCGGCCGCTGGCGCACAGCGTCTGCACGAGGTGGTTCGCGTTCGCGGGCGGCGGCGTCGGCGGCTGGGACGCGAGCGACGCCACGCACCTGGACCGCGACACCCTCGGGCGCGCCCTGGGCCCGGCCGCCGGGCGGGAGAGGTGGAAGAGGGAGGCGGGCGGCGAGGCGGGCGCGGGGGCGGACATGGGGTGGAGGAGGCGGAGGCGGAGCGTGCGCGGCGCGAGTGGCTTCACCGTGTTCGGGATATTTTTCCGGTGCGGTGTGGTCGGAGTTCGGGCAGCGGATGGGGAGAGAGGCGGAGGCGCGCCGCGGCGGTGGAGAAGCGTGGGGATTTTTGCTGTGGTAGTGACAGGCCGACCGTTGATGGGCTACGCAATCTTTTGCAGTTTGTTGGGCTGACGGATTGTGGCATGGGCCGGAATGGTGATAGGCCGCTTTTGCACCGTGTTTTCCAAATAAACAGGTCCAAACAGAAAACACCTCGGCAATGATAGGATAGGATCATAGTAGTAGGAGAGAAGAAGTCTGGACCGCTGGTGATTAGGCAAGTACTATAACGATGCCGATAGCTTTTGCCACTGTCATCGATTAATCATTATTCCTATTTACAGGTTCTAGTTTTGGTGGCTGGCTGTCTCTTGTACAAGAGGTACTGTCTACGGATTTTTTTTTTTTAGTGCCATGTCAATGCTAGTAGTAACAGAAACTGTACTGAACATGGGCATAGAGCAGCATGAATTGATAAAAAGGGTTGTGCCTGACGGGAAAGCCAGGGTGCCGCTTCCCATGACCAATCCCCCTTTGATGCTCTCGCACTGCGCTGTGTGTCATTTCCGAGAAAAGCAATTATTCTATGCAGCAAACAGTATGTACATGTCATTTCCGAGACAAAAGCAGCAGATGTGCCACTGCCACTGCCACTGCAATTGTTGGATAGTGGTGGGAGCAGCTGCAGCTGAGAGAGAGCCACCGGATTGGGCGAGATATCGACAAAACCAAACAAGCATTTTGAAAAGCGTTCCAAATCCAATGAGGGATCAAATCAGCCGTATCTTAGAGTGGAAAGAACATATGCTTAACGAGAATCCATCATCACAGATTAGATTAAGGAAAGGTCTCTAGTAGTCCACTGCCTCAACTTTTGCTCATGTGCCCCCTGTGCCCATCCTCACAAGAAAAAAGTAAAGTTAGAAACAAAATTGAAGCTTTGCTTTCAACAGGCATGTACCTGGAGAAGGAAGCAAGCAGAAGGCCTGTGTACCGAAGCTTTCTACAGTGCCAGGGTGAGAACTCAGAAGAGGCCATACTATCTGCAGAGCTTATTGAATTGGGATACCATAGCTAATTTTATAAAAAAAAATAAACCAGTAGTACTATATAGTTGTATTTTTGTCATGAAGTAGTAACAGTGAGTAAATTAGCAGGAGCAAAGTTGCAGCATAACAGGAGGAACAAAGTAGATATTACTATTCCGTAATGCATTCTTTGTCCAAAACATATATTCCGAAATTGACTTGTGCTGATCTAAAGTTGACACGCACACACATTCCGGGCTTTTCCGGCTTGCTTTGATTTCGTTGCGAGATGAGAAGTGTAATACTCTCTCCTGTTTCATAAATTTTGACGTTTTAGATGAGATTAAGATAAAACTTTTATTTGATCATCAATATCTTTAAAAATATTTAGTTTAAAAGCACTATAACATCGTAGATAGATCTGTCTTTAAAAAAAATGTAATTTTTTTTGTTATATATATATTGTAACAAAAAGGTAAAAAAAACATAATCAAGGACATACTTCTAAAACCGTATTATATATTGTCCAAAAATATCAAAAGTTAATTGGAGGGATACTAGTACGAATACTGGTAGCTTTGAGTTACTCCATGCCTCACACGCCACACATGTGTAGTTACAGTGGTCATTGCATGACATATCGAAAGAACAATTATGCGCCTCATCCACCGCCTGACGCCCAAGAAAAGAAGCAGCAGTGCCTCTTTTCAAAACATGAACAGTGCTTGCAGTACCTGCTACACCTTCTTTTTTTAGGGAGTTGTTGTTTGTTACAGTACCCTGTGACGTGCATGGATTCCCCTCCAAACGAAAACAACGTGCATGGAGCCATGGAAGATGGGTCCCTCCCCCCCCCCCCCCCCCCCCCCACTCGAGCTGCCTATCTCCAGGTAACAACGCTGGATACACATACAAAATTCATCCATTCACATAATAATCAAATGATGCTGCAGAACCAAAGATGCATGGAGCCAAGACAGCCAGGCTCCATTGGAGAGCTTCTGCCTGCAGATCCAGACAAATTGTTTACTACTAATGCATCGATCGAAAAAGATGAGCCAATCTACTGCACAGACCCCAACGAAAATTATTAGTGTAACAGAGGCCAGTTAGAGGTTAACAAATGGTCAAATCATGGTTTGTCCAAGCTTTAGGAGGCTACCCCCGTCTAAGGATACAAGACATACTTAGAAAAAAGTCTACTAACTTAGTTTAATACTGCTCACCCAAAGAAGGCAGAAAGGCTAACAAAACAGGCTGAAAGATAAATCCTAGCAGGTCTTATTCTACAGCGACAAATTGAAGCTTCAGCTACTTTAGTACATTTGGTAGGATCACCTCACTTTTTGGCCATAACATCAGCTTCTTTTTCTCTGCCAGCTAAGCCCATTTCGTCATCACAGTACAAGGATTAATCTAAGCATATAACAAATGGTACACAACTTTACTGCCTTGGGAAGGTATTGTCAATCTCTCTATAGCCCGCAAGGTGTCAAATATTTGACAGCATACCTGGATCTACATGAAGGGAAGATCAATGTTTTTTCACCCTCCGAACAAATTGATTCAGACTGATCATCAAGCCATGTCGCCAAGTGATTGACTTATATACCATCCTAACATCATACTAGCAGTACATTACAAGTGCATCACCAGCAACCTGAGGCAGCAGCCACAATCACCCGACAAAATCATGCAGCAAGTGACCACCAATCTCCTTCCCGAAATGCCGGTCCTGACCTCCAAATGAGCTCATCACATAGGCGTCACTGACTTCCTCCAGTCCGAAACGGTGAGCTAGGTTGGCCGGGAGAGCAGCCGGGAGAGGCTCGGCGATGCAGACCCTGTTGTTCTGGTGAAGACCAAGGGTGAGGGAGACACCGCCATTGCCGCCTCCGATACCAACACCGCCGACCTGCTGGTGCTGATGATGTGGTGATGCAATGTTGTGCTGCGAGGTCAGCCCGTTGTATGCGAAGCTCACCTGTCCCTGGATGGACTGGGACATCTGGGAGAGCTCATCCGGGAAGCCCTGGGAGGCAGCGGTGTTGTGGTTCCGAGTTATGCTGCTGCTCTGTCCAGGATGGGAGTCCGAAGGAACGGAGGGATTCCCGCTGCACTGCGAAGAATGCTGGGCCTGATGATGCACGCTATGCTGGCCCTTGTCAACCACCGAGTGCTTGTGCATTTGCCTCATCTCTAGGTTGTGAATTTCTTCCACCATTGGCTTCCACAACCTAACCCTTGCGTTGATAAACCAGTTCGATACCTGCACCAGCATCACAAATTCAATCAAAATGTCCTGAAAACAAAACAATCTAGCCTGATATACTGTGCAATCTATTCTTGAACACACCTAGAAGCATTTCTATTTACCTGGTTGCGTGTCAAGCCTGTTTGTTTTGCTAGCATTTGCTTATCACCATCGGTAGGATACCTGCACGATTGGAATCTGAAAATGTCACTGATGCAAAATTATAGTGTTTTCTAAAAGAACAAAGTACCAGATATAGCGCAAAATCAAATAATCAAGAAATTTCCGCTATTACAAAAGACACTTGTGATGTGCATGCTTAACGATGGTTTACAGGATCACAACAAATATTTTACATGGCGAATATCCAAGCAAAGATGTAGGCAAACACATCTTCCAAGTCGAACCTTACAAAGGATTTGATCAATACGGGAACTAATAACACTAGGACCAACATCTGACAAATAATGGATTTCAGTGACTTTTTTTAAAGATGATGACTGATCCTTTTTTTAAAGTAATAAACAGACAGACAAACCCCTTACTGGATGAAAATGGCTAGCACTAAACTACTGTACTAATTATCTCAAACTGAATATCTCGAGCACATGTCAATCAACTTGATGTAACCACCAGTAGGGCTTAGCTACAGCCTTTAGATCATATATATAATGCAAAATGATCATACTACAAAAACTAAAAAGAATATGCCAAACAAACTACATTATGATGATGCTTATTATAGCCTAAGGTATGTACTTTTAAGATTTAGTTCGAAGTAATGCCCATCTGGCAAGTTAATTCCAGCATTAACGTGTTCTAAAAGCCACTCTACTTATGAGAAGCCGGGCCACCACATTCATACATTACAGCCAGAAACAACAAATCCAGGAAGTTAATACGTGATTAAGAATGCATCAAACAAGCAGCAGGAATGCCACTATTTAGATCACCAAGTCGAAAGTATGATCTCTAGTAGTACAGCTCAACACACAGTTAGGTACAGGTTTAAAAGTTATGTTAATGATGGATTGGAAGCCATGCCTGCATGAGGCCATAGCCTTCTATCAGACAGGCAGGGTCGCTTGCTATCACCAAACCATCAACGGATCAACCCCACGGTTCCAGTGTCACGTACTACTGATCATATCAAAAAGGAACAACCACACTCACCACAAATGCTTAGGGACTACTGTTATCCTCATCTAAAGCAAGCAACTGTAGCATCATCATCATTGTCTTGGAATGCGTGCAGCTAATGAACCCAGAGTTAACCATAAAGCAATAAGAAGATCAAAGGGCTTACGGGTGCAGGAAGTGTTCGAACAGCCACGCGCGTAAAACGGACACAGCGCGCTCGGGGAGCCCCCTCTGTGGGCGCCAAATATTGTGCGGCTGGCCGAACGCGCTCGCGCTGTTCGCTCGCTGGAGGCCGGCGCCGCCGCTGCTACCCCCGGCGAGCCCGAACACGGCGATCTCCTTGTTTAGCCCGTCCTTCACAGCGACCTTGTTGCTCGTGTTGCGCAGCTGGTTCAGAATCATGCTCTTCAAGCACTTGAAGTGCTTCGCCATCGCCCTCAGCGCCAATGCCGCGAACGGCGCGGCGTTGCTGAACCCGGCGACGGTCTCGAACGAGGCCATCACAGCCTGAACCTGCTGGTAGTACTGCCGGTACCTCTTGCAAACCTAAAAAAAGATATTGCTGTTGGGTTAGAATTCGATGAGAGATAATCTACCAACAAAGAATGATTAGATAAAAAGATATCCATGTTAGGAAAAGGAAGCAGTGTGCTTTTGTTTTCATGTGGATATGACACGAACAAAGCAAGCGTAGCTCCCAATTATGGGAGAGAGATGTTATTGAAGAACACAGGCAAACAAAATTGCCTTACAGAGGGTTCCAAAAATAGAAGCTTTCTACATTGTACTCCTACGTAGATGCTCATGTAGTATACTCCTAATTGCCATGCTCCGACATCGTAGAGGAGAGCGCATTTCAAAGCTCGAAGCTTTTAGCAGCGCCACTATTCTCACCAGAGGACACCAACAAGAGAGAATTAATGGCATCTGGCATCGCCCATGGGTCATGTCTCAAGACTTTGAAAGGACGGTTAGTTCTAATTTCATGTGGAGGACTATCTTTTCAAGCACTCACAGTAGTGCTAAACAGCCGATCAAAATACAATCTTTGGTGATAAGACGCGGAGGAACACTACTATTCATCATGAACAGTGCAGAACTGTACAAGCTCAAACCACTCGAGGAAAAAGAAGAGAGAGAACAAATCAAAAGATGTATCAGCAGCAAAGGAAATCATCATCAAATCAAAAGCACATGCAACCACAGTAAATAAAAGCAATCCGCAACTGCATCGGTGACATGACCACTATGTGCAAGATTCTTCTCCACCCAGGAGTAGCGATAATTGTAACGCCGAAACAAGGTGAAAAAGATGGTCGCCACAAGAAACCTGGAAGGAGGAATTGAGGCGGCTAGCGGAGCTCACTCACCTCTTCCATCATGGAGATGAGCTTCGTCTTCTTCCACTGCTGCTCGGCCCCCGAGATGGGGCCAGCGTCGGCCGCTGCGCGGTCAGCGCCGCCGAGGTCGTGATCAACGACGTCATGATCGACGCCGTCCATCGGATCCGCGTCGAGCAGGCCCTCGTCGGAGATGGTGCGGTCGACGTGCGAAGCAGCGCCGCCGACGTCGCAGATCTCCTCGAACAGCTTCTCTGCCGGGCCGAGGAAACGGGACCGGCCGAGCACGGCGGCGTAGCCGGTGAAGGGACCGAACGGCCCCGTGGCCTGCGCGAGGCCGCCGAGCTGCCTCCTCGGCTGCGCCTGCGGTGGTGGAGGATTCGACGACGCGGAGGAGAGCGACAGCGAGAAGTTCTGCGTCGGGATCTGCGGGAGCGGCGGCGCCAGCCCGTGCGCCACCAGCTGCGCCTGCGCTAGAGTAGGGCTGTGCGGGGAGTACGACGACGACGAGGACGCGTACGAGTAGAACGCCGGGGGCGGAGGCCACGACCCGTGCTGCTGCTGCTGCTGCGGGGCATGACCATGACCATGACCATGAGGCGGTGGCGAGTCCCCGGCGTCCGGCGGGAACCGGAGCTTCTCGCGCCGGCTGTGCTGGGGCACGTGGTACATCTGCCCGCCCGCCGCCGCGGCCGCTGCCGCAACGGCCGCGCCGGCCACGTGCTGCGGATGGTGGTGGAGCAGGAGGTGACCGGCGTGCCCGTGGTGGTGGTGGTGGTGCTCCGCGCCTCCACCCTGGCCGCCGCCGTACCCGCCGCCCCCAGCGGCGGACGACATGGCGCGCACGCACGTACGGTCGTGGGTCTCTTCTCCTCGGCGCGCGCGCGGGTGGGCACGTAGTACGGGTGGTGCGTGCGAAGAGGCGCAGCGCAGTGAGCACCTGGCCCTGGAGAGAGTGGAGATAGAGGGGAAACGGCTCCGCACTTTCCGAGCGCCCGGGCCTGGCTTGGCTGGCCTGGTCTCACTCCCTCATCACTCTCCCGCTCTGCTTCTGCTGCTGCTGTAGTGTAGCCTCCCTCTCCCACCCCGACCCCTCGCGTCCTCTTGTTGTTTTCCTCCTCTTTTTCCCCGTTTCGCCTTTGTGCTGGGTGTTGTTGCTGGGTTCGTGGCGCCTTTCTTTCTGCAAAGGCGAGACACGGAGGGGGAGAAAGAGGGGGGTGGCGGGAGGGAGAGATGGGAAGGAAATGGTAAGCCGTGAAACTGTGAAAGCGAAAGCAGAAAGGCCGAGCGCGACGGGGGAGAGGAGTGGAGACTGGAGAGCGCGCATCGCGTGTAAAAATAGGTGCAGCCGCGCTTGTCATCCGAGTGGGTGGGTGGGCTGTTTGGCTGCCAGGACGTGTCCGGGCCTGCAGCGTACTTGCCCTTGGCGCGGCGCGATCAGCCCTTGGCTGGCTCGTTACGAGGGAAAAAAAAATGATTTTCATCTTCCCTTGTTTTACTGCGGCTGCCCGCGGTTGGTACTCCCACCTGTGGGGGTTTGACCATTCCAAGCTACGAGTAGAAAACATTCCATGTGCAGTGCGATTAAGTCCCCCATTATAAATGTTGTCCTAACTGGCTTTCGTACAAACACCCATCTCCCTGCTTTCGAATTCCACCTCTGCTGCAGCAACAATTTTTGCGTGTTAACCCCAGTACTCTGTACAGGGCTGTCAAACGACACCAAAATACGGTTTTTATCGCAAGCGTGTCCACATCACTACATCTACATGACCCAATCCCTTGGCTGCTTGTGTATAGTGTAGTACTGGGGTAGTACAATACTGGTCGACCCGCACTAGTAGAAGCGGCAAATCATACGCGCCCTTTAATGCGCTGCCCTCCCCAGAGCAAGCCCTCCATTGGGCGAGTCCTGACGCCCGGGCCCACGACTGGTCACCACCCGTAACTGGGCCCGCAAGTAAGCAATCACCCCTCTGGGCCCCACCCATGACAAGACCTAACATAGCACACCCTCTGGCCCACGGCCCGTCTCTTCCTCCCTCCGCTCCGAGTCCCCCACGCGCAGCTCCACACCGTCGTCGACGCACCACCGACAAGCGGGACCCACGTCCCCTACCCGGTTTTCCATACAGCGGCGCGCAACCAGGGATACGGGGGAGAGAATCCCACCTCTCTTTCGCCGCGGCTGTTGGCTGTTGCGTCGCGTGGGACGTCACCGGGGGACACGTGCCGGCTCCTCCTTGGGCGCGGCATGATTAGCAAAGCTACGCTACGGCGGAGCCCGTGACGTGGCTGCCGCTGCCATTAACTTCAAATCCACCCGTCCATTCATCTAGCCGTAGTGCACAGAGAGAGAATAAGTGAGCAAAAGATACGAGGAGTACGAGCAGAGTACTGGGGTGTGAAGGAACTACACCTCCGGGCTTATGCCTTTGTTGTTACTGCAGGGACCCCCTCTGTAGACTATAGTGCAGCTAAGCACGGCTAAGCTACTGCCTAGTGACCTCTCTCTACATGGATCAACAGAACAGGTGAAAGTGATTCTCACTCGGTCAGAACAGTGGCAGGACAGTGCCGCCCTATCGCCGCGGGTCCCACCTCGCAGTGTCGACGCGCACTGCTTTGCTCAACATTTCGTGCATGTGAGCACATGAACAGGTGAACCGAGGCAGCTGCTAAGCTTTGGCTACCTATCCCCACGTTAAATATCTTCACGTTTCCACCGCTTCCGCCTCTTCTGCAAACGCGATCTCACAGCGTTGCATGCGACCGAGCGGGGCTCACGCTAAGCCAACGTGTGCACAGCGAACCCACGAAGCACTGCTAGCACGTACTACTACTACGCTCCGCCCGCGCGGTGTTTGCCACAGACCGTCCTATACCACTACACATATTTTCCCGTCGCCACAGCGCGTTGGAAATCGTTTCACGGGGGCAGACGCTGTGTATTGGCAGCGGCGCAGCGCTGTGGCGCTGTGCTAATCAGGCAGGCAGAGACACAGAACAGAGGCAGGAGTACGCACACCGTGCCGATGACACGCCGCATGCACGCGTGGGCAAGGGCCACGGGCGCATGCACACCGCAACGTGTATCTTCTCCCCAGCTCGTGCATTAGGCCGTCGCCCAAGCTGGATGGACCAGCTTATCAACTTGTTTATCCGAGCTTTCCGCCTTGCCGCGAGAGTCGAGACGAAGCTGCCCTTGGCGCCTTGGCCCCTCGCCGTCCTCACCTTTTCGCGTGTCGATGGTACGCACAAGTGTGCGACCGGCTGGAGTGGCTGGACCGGGGACCCGCCTGTATTTTCGCGCAGTTCCTGTTTCGCTGGATCGCATGTGGACACGCCGCGTTTTCCCTGTTTCTCGCAGCGCACGTGTTGGCTGCTGCCTGCCATGGCTGCCGCACACGCCAAAAACGTACGTGCGTTTCGTTTCGTGCGACCCTGCTGCTAGCTCATGTGTCCCGCCCGGGCTCCCGGGTGCGTTCTAAAGCCAAAAGCAATTATTTTTGACGTAAAAAGAAGGGGTAGAACCAGGGAATTACACGGAGCGACCTTCCAGCTGCTGTACCATAGCATATTTACAGTGGAGTGAAATAAGGAGACCGAACTTTTACCAGTGAACTGTGTGACCTTGAGATTCTTTAGCATTAATCAACAACGGATAACACTACTTAAAAAATCTTCATAGGGACCGGTATTATAAGAGCCAATTTATTTAAAATCGACATCTATGATCTTTTTCTCACCTTCCCACGATGAAAAAAATATAGAACCGGCATATTTAAGCACTATAGATATCGATTCTGTTTAAAAAAAACTCAATACATGCACTATAGATGCATATTTTTAATAGAACTGACATCTATAAAATGAATATGGATGCTGATTTTTTTAAAAAAACTGACACCTGTTAAAAAAAACTTAATCCGTATATGTTTGACCACCCACAGCACCCTTATCTTATCTATCCATCCCGCTTGCCATCCATGCATCTCTCGTCCCTCCTCTCCCTTTGCCTTCCTCTCTCTGGTGGAGCGGCGGCGGCCCTCTCCTAACCCGGGGGCCCTCCCCCCTTCTCTCCTCCTCTAGGGCAGCGTGGCGATGGAGAAAGCCGACCGATCGGGCAGGGTGCGGCCGGTGCGGTGGCTGACAGATAGATCTTATCAGCCCCGTCCTCAAGTGCGGCGAGATGGCGGTGGTGGTGGAGGAGGCCTGGATCTTGCTAGCCCTCTCTCTCCTAGGGGACCTCCCCCCTTCCCCTTCTCCTCCTCTAGCATGGCGTGGGGTGGCGGCCGGGTGGCAAGGTGGCGGCGTGGTCATCAGATCTCGTCGGCTCCCTCTCACCCAAGGGACCTCCGCCCCCCTCCCCCCTCCACCAATGCGGCATTGGGTGGCGGCCACCGGCGTGGAAGCCAGCGTTGCGTTTTTTTTAATAAACCGACATGTATAGGATTGGAGCAAACGTACCGACCATAGCTAGTTCATAACCGTTACTTATGGGGTTTTCTGTCTTAGTGTAAAAGGCTCGTTTTACCGTCCAGTTCTAGCTGGGCTATGCCAAATTTTCAATAAAACTAGAAAGACTTAATTAAAAAAATATTATTAATTAAATTATTACTACTAATTACGTATCATCTTGATAATTGAATATTTAATAATTAATTTTAATAGATACTAAATTAAAAAAACTACTTCCTTTTACATTTATTCTACTCCCTCTGTCCCATAATATAAAGAATTTTAGGTGGATGTGATACATCCCAATACAATAAATCTTAACAAACGGTCTATCCTGGATTTATTGCATGTGTCACATCCACCTAAAATTTCTTATATTATAACGGAGGGAGTATATAACGATAATGTAAAAGAAAGTTCCTTTTACATTTCAACATCATAATGTCGAAGCAAGAAAAAAAAGAAACTGGTTTACTTCCTCTATCTCATAAAATAACCAATACTTAGATGTGGCACATTCTATTACTATGAATCTGGACAGAGAATCTATCACTGTCCAGATTCATTGTACTAAAATGTGTCACATTCAATATGGAACGGAAGGAGTACCGCGAGGTACTGTAGAACTTGGGAGTATGTTTGAATGACACTTCGACAGCATCCGTGCCAACGTATACGATGATGCGTATACACGAGGTTTTTGCCCTTTTGGACATCCATGATATACTACGCGCCTCGTAGTCCGCAAGAAATGAGTGCGGAGTAGATCGCTGATCGCGTCTTCCCGTCGAAATTTTTTCTCATCATACGGCCACTCGACGACCAGCTGCAGTACCAGGTACCGAATCACTCTACTCCTACTAGCAACGACAGTAAGGTCAATTCAGAGAAGCCTGCATGCCACCGTTTCTTTCCCTCTCTCTATCTTTTCTGACTGATGGATGCTTGTCGTTGTACGTATCTGTTCGGTTCCTTCTCTCTTCAAAGACGTTGGCTAATCACGCCCTGCTTAGGGGTGTTTTAGATCCACGGGCGTAAAGTGGATACTATTAGGATATTGCATGAGGTGTTCGGTACTAGAAAAAAACTAATTATATAATCCATTAGTAAATCATGAGATGAATTTATTAAGTCTAATTAATTTATCATTAGCAAATATTTACTGTAGCACCAAATTGCCTAACCATGAAGCAATTAGGCTTAAAAGATTCGTCTCGAAAATTAGTCGCAGTCTATGCAATTAGTTATTTTTTAGTATTTATTTAATACTTTATGCAGGTGTTTAAACATTCGATGTGATATGGTGTAAAATTTTAGGGTGGGATCTAAATACCCCTTTACCACATTCCATCAAAAACTTTACACCCTGTCACATCGAACGTTTGAATACCTGCATTAAGTATTAAATATAGGCTAAAAAAAGAAATTACATAAATTGTGACTGTCGACGTTTGATGTCGCGATTGCGGTATTTGTATAGTATGTGGATCGTTGGTACTAGGATATACGCGAGACTGAGGTAAAAGAGACGGAGACGAGGATTTTATACAGGTTCGGGCCCTTGAATCGTCAGGTAATAACCCTACATCATGTTGGTCGAAGCCGGTCGTTACTTTTATTCATCATAATCACACCAGTACAATATTTGGGGTAGCCTATCTAACTGTTATCGACATGGCGGTTTGAAAGTCTGACTCGTAGTCGACAACAGGGTAGTCTTCCTCCTCGAGTTCGTGCCCGGCGAGATCAGAGACAGCACTAGATCCCTATGGCCGGCCTTTGTAGGTACCAAATAGGGCTGATCCAGGCATATCTCTGATGTCGATATCCGGCGGCTTGTCTTGGCGTATGTT